GACCCAATAGCTAAAAATATTTTTAATCTGGATCCAGAGCCGGACCCGATGGACTCTAACTCGAAGTAGTCGATCGTTTGACATTTTACTTTTTTCACCAGTTAATAACCAAAAAGCAGTCTGTTTGTATATATTTTATATCATCATTGATTGTAGCTTTAAAATAAGAATGTTCTATGCATGGATGCACCATATTAAAAACTTTAATTGCAGAAAATTCTTCTTTTGTTGTATCTATTAAATCTTGAGTATCATCTTATTCATCTTCATTATCGTAATCATCAATTGAGGAAAGCCATCATTAATGCTAAGATCAGCTGCTGTTCTATTATCTTCATCATTATCACCATCATCAACAAATAATCAGCAGCCATTGACCACATCAGATAATGTACTTCAACAAATTGCATTACCAAATTTGATACCTATTATAGTGCCATCAGATACAATACAATCGAATCCAACTTCAGTCACAGTATTTTCTATATCCAAATCAACAAAAGATGAAACTTGTGATATTAACATTATCGAACAACCATCATCATTAACAGCTAAAAGACAAGTGAAAAGAAAAGTTCAAACAATAGAATCAGCAAAAAGAGCAAGAAGAAGATAATTTTTATATGCCTAACATTGTCTTGTTTGTACTTCTTCGATCACTTCTTTCGTGTTCTCTTATATGGTAAGATTTTATATTAAATTGATGTTTTTAATTTAATAATACACTTCTTTTTTTTCTTTTACAGCTAATCGATTCTATCAAGTGTTGAATTTTTATATTTTTATGTCCGTTTGACTTTTATTTTATTTTTACATTTTACAGTTGGTTTTTAAACAAACAAATCATATGAATAAAAAACTTTTTAATATAAATATTTCTTGATTGATTCCTGAAGTCTTCGCGAATGTTCTTTTTGTTAATTTTTTTTCTCTACTCTCGACAGACAATTGAGAAAATGAAACTATCATATTTTTACAATTCTAAGAATTTCATATTAGAGTGGATTCATGTGGATTCAAGTGGATTCATGGATTCTGCTGTTCCCCCCTTGACCCACACCCACAATCCAAAAGCACACTCCATGCGCGTCAAGCAGCCAGCAAAAGAGTCTACATCATGGCCATAGCATTCAAAAAACTGCACATCAAGCAACGCGACCTAGTCTATAAATAAACTTATTTCATATTTCGTGTTCTTACTTGTCAAAAACTGTACAATGACACAGTTGATCCTAACCAGAAAACCAACCTCGAAAAAAGCACTAGATATCATCCACCAATACTCCTTTGACAACGGTACACAGACCGTTCTCCACATCACCTAGAGGGTGTGAACATTTTAGAGATAATGCCAGCTGAAAACAATTTCTATATCAAACGTATCATACTCACGCTATCCAGAATATAATTCTAAAATTACAGTATACCATGGAACAGTTACAAAGACGAAGCCATCTGAAAAGTCCTTTAGCAGGGATGAAACGCGTCATGGTTGCTACTAAAAAAACACCGACACCCTCACGATACGAGTAATAATGATGCGTAAGTCAAAAAATTTGTATCCCAATCGATTTTGAATTTGATTTATTGTGGAGTGTCTCTTTTTATCCTTATATTAAATTAGTTCAATTTATGAATGCTGGGTCTTCTTTTGATTTTATTATTGTTTACCATGTAGTTTTAGAATCTTAAGATACCTGATGAGATCCTTTAGAAAGATCGAAACGTCTTATATACTGCTTTGAATCTAATTTGAATATTTGAGTACATAACACACCCACACCATTTCATGGTTTATTAACATTCAAAATGGACGAAGCAATATTAATTACCGGCAAAAGTGGAGCAGGTAAGATTTTCTAAGTAACTACTAATGCGCCGAGAATTATGATTGTAGGCAAATCGACATTCTATGATATTTTAAATGGTTCGGTACCTCACAGGAACTATTCAGCTAAGATAAACATTGACGATAGCTCAGACGGTACCACTCTTCATTCAGTTGAAAAATGTCGAACAATGGTTTTACAAGATAGCGATATGGATTATCGATCAACTATCTACAGAATGATTACAGATATGGATGCAGATGAAGTGAAACAAAAGAGAACATCACAATTCGATTCGCTCGTACATGAATTTCTTCGACTTGTGCAAATCGATGATTTCGTTCGAAATGAGCTCCACGGGGATCTTCATGAAGCAATGGCAGATAAACTAAGCGATGGGCAAAATACTCGTTTATTATTAGCGCGAGTCTTTTTTCGTGCTCATCATCGAAACGCTTCTTTACTTATTATCGATAAACCTGATCAAGGTCTACCTGCTGAAACAACAGTCAGTATTATTGATAATATTATGAAATGGTATCGATCAAAAGGGATTCTCATTGTCACGTTACATACCGAACGTGCACACGCACTAAAATTTGATCAAGTTCTACATGTGGAAGAAGGAACTATCGCAAAGATTAAATAACTATTATGTGATGATAGAAAATACACTTGGTTATTTTTCGGAATCGAACTGATTGAACTCATCTAAGCATAAAGAGTGATCTTAGTCAAAATAATGCCGAAAATGTAATTGGAACAAAAACCGATAGATTAGATGTATTTCATTTCAATCGAAAGAAAAAGGAAAATATTTTATACAAAAGTCGGCACGGGTAAAGAATCACAATCGTGATCGACCTTCCATTGTGAGAAAGTATGACACGCGATAAACAGATTCTTGACAAATAAAAATTTATGATAGAATGCGACTTATTAGATATTTATTTTATATTCGAATCTGTGCAATCATTTCCATACAAACTCACATGAATGTCGTCATATTTAAGTGTGATCTTAACAAAACATTGTGACATACACTCTATTACAATTGACGATTATTTGAAATGATGCCTACGTAAAAATCGATTGTAGTCTAAGCTATATATCATGTTACAAATTTAACTGAAATAGAATGTTTGTATCAGCGTGAAGATCGAAGAAAAGAATAAAATTTCGTCGTTATTTTTTTTGTCTTATCATATTCTTAGAAGAAACAATATATACGTCTTATTTTTTCTGACAATATTACTGAGTGTAAAATAATACTTTTTTGAAACTAATAAAAAATGAAACAAATTATATTTTTAACATTCTTGGCTCTGTTAACGAATAAATGTTCATGCCAAACAGGATTTCCCAAACAATTTCAAGCGACATTGAATATAAATGGATTGGAGTCTTGGCAAACATCAACTTCCAATGTTCAACAATTATTATATGATTATATAAATTCACGAGCTCGATTCGACATTACAGGATGGCGAAAAAGACCAACGTGAAACTTATATGGTGCAATATAAACCTAAAGGAGCTGAAACAGAGTCAGTCAGTATAGAACACTATACTTCTTACAGAATGAATATTATAGCCTTCAAATATTTTTAGCCAGCTTCACAAGGTTTTACAATGTTAAATTTCAATCCTGATTATCCCGAATGGACAAAAGTAATAATGATACTTATGTTTTTCCGTTGATCTTAAACCATAATTTATTATTAAAGAATGATTGCTGGTATAGAACGAATCCAATGGGTGATATAGGTCCGTTTCCATTTTCATGGTTCAATCAAGTCAGCGACTTTGAAATCAAACCATTACAGCTGAGGTAGCTAGTCAGAGAAATAGATTATTCTGTATGAAAATCAACAATTTATGAAATAAACGATGATGTACTTAGCGAATGATAGTTTTTCAATATCGATAGATTTCTATTGGACTTGTTACCGTTTAAAACCAAATTGTTCAACCTTATATCGAGTTAACCACCTGTCAATACAGTTGTTTTCGCTATTTTTTTTTGTAGAGATATGATTCACCAGAAATTTGCGATTTACAACGATCTGGTATTGGCAAAGTTCCATGTTTAAGTTACTTTGAAGCAGATGATACACCTGTTAAAACAATCACAGCACGCGCTGCTGTAGGTAGCTTTGATACTGACGAGTAAGTGCTTAATGTATTGATCTAATGATTGAATACATCAATGTTTGAATATATATATATATATATATATATATAGATATATAAGGACAGTTTATTTGTCATTTACATTTGGTATTCCATCACAAGTTGAACCTCTGTTCAATTTACCTGATAAATGGCCTTCTTATTGTGGTTATGCGAATGCTGGTAAGTAAATCATTCATAGCTATTTACTTAGCAGTATCTGTATCATTATAATATGATTACTTTTAGGCTTTACTATCGATAATTTACATGGATATGTAGTAACTCCAGATGGTGGAGATCATTTTATGCTGAAACTAAATGGACAACCAGTTCATTCATTAGGAGATCAAGTTACAGTTCATTTTAAAGTACAACCAAATTGGTATTACAATGGTACTCGATGTGCTGAATTCAATAGCATTATTTTTGACCGAGAAAATTGGCAAGAGCCAAAACAAGTTGATATGTCGTTTGGTGATTACGGATGCTGTTCATACGCACTCACAGCAGCCGGTGGTGGATACGAGTGGCAATATTCTACATCAACATTTGCTGTTTATGCATGTGACGGACAAGCCGGTTATGGTTGTACCGACAAAGAACCATGTGGAGGTTAAAAATGTTCAAAAATAAAAAGAATAAAAGGCGACACTTGTATGAATGGATGTAACAGACCAATGTATTATTATCTTTTAAACGAAAGAAACATTCTTCATGATAAAGTGCTTTGGATAATATTAATGCATTTCCCAAGTTTGGTGCAAAATTCAAGATTGTTTTGATCTCCTCCTCCCACAATAGAAGATTCTCCTTTAATTAATTAATTAATTTTTTGCTAATTAGGAACTTTAATTAGTGTTTTTCTCTTCAAATATGCCTAATTTTCACACCTGTGCGGTAGAAATATTAAGATTGTGCGTTCAGAATTATTATTATATCCTCAAAATTCTGGGGGTGGGGATGTAATAGAAGGGTGTGGGTGAATCAATTAAGCTATCTTTTAAGGAAAAGACAGATCAATCTGCTAGTCTCAACTCTTACTTTTCAGTAATCGATCAAAGTCGAAAATTAATATTCTATACGTAACGAAATAATGACGAATGTCAATAATAGTGTTTCGAATGGATAGAGATTGAGCATCAAGATATATAGAATTGCGTATATATCGAGATAAATAACCGATAAAAAATTATTGAGGCTTGAAAAGGGGTACAACCAAGAATGTTTGGATAATACCAAATTGTAATAATATCTGTATTATGAGTGTACAGTCCACGCTCATGAGCGAGAGCGTTTGTATGCCATCGAATATAATCGATTCTGATCATTTTTATCTAGTCTATTCCTCAAAAAACTGCATTCATACTTTTCGTGCCTGTGGTACCCGTCAGGTATCGTGAATACAATTTTGTCTTGTGGGTGTGGGTGTGGGTAATCTCTTCTATCACAAGGGCCCACACCCACACCCTATCCAGTAAGTTATCTATGTAATTATTGTATATAATATCGTGTACTTAAAGCATTTATATAGTATCCAATCATTTTACTTTTTACAATCACACTGACAAGATATTTATTTGAAAATTATCACTTTCTCATCATGAATATATGTATCGTTTTCTTTTCAATGAAAAGAATCGTCGAAACAAAGAGTTGTAATTGTTTCTTCACTTATTCAGACTGTCTGATATCATTATCGACAGTGTTCCTTTTTTTCTTTTTCTATTCAATTCCAATGAGACTACCTGTTGTGAAAAAGAGAGTCTTTATAAATTCATTCTTTATATACATATAATGAGCATCGACATGTATATTGTCATCAATGGTAAAATGATGAAATGCCAGTAAAGACGATTGTAGATATTCTAATGATCTAATAATGATTGTGATAACCTGTTTTTCAATTCATCTTGAGGCTGTAGTTGTGGACATCGACGTTGGTGAGGCTGAAAACAAATCCGCACCCGCACTCGCACACTCATACTTACCACAGCCATATCGTCAACACACCGACGCCCAGACCGGCACCATTCTTGTTTGAATTGTATAGCTTTTCATTGTCGGTTCGAATAGACCGATATTCCTCGAACACGTTAACTCAAGTTCTATCAATTTGAAAATGTGGAATGATGCACTATTTCTTTTTGCTTGAAAATAAACGACGTCGATGATGGAAAAATAAAACATCAACTCCATTGCCTTGTTTCAAACAAAAAATATCTTCTGTTACCCTAGTATAGATAAAGATGTGATACAAGGATTCAGTGGTTCGTTATTTATTTTTCAAGGTAACACTGATAAAAGTCTATTTGTAGCATGTCTCATTTCGGACAACCAGAATTACACAACACAAGGACTTTATTCCGAAGTAAAGTACAACTTCGTCCAAATGTAGACCGATATGAATATGCTAAATCGTCTCTTCAATTATAAATAAGCATGTATTTTATTCAACGGATATTTAAATTAATCTTCTGTTTAGATAATCGGTGAATTATGCTCGTATGGTATTTAATTTCGATTCTTGTTCTTTCATTGTCATTCACTCAAGGTCTCGATCATGAGACGTTGTTTATGAAAGAAAACTAACTTTCAAACTCGTTATCCATGGATGAAGCCTATTTGATTCTACATAGTACGAACTATTCAAATAGTATTGTATTGTTTGGCAATAAAATTGTATGTGAAGGATGTGATTTTGAAAAAATAGCGACGATTCATCCAAATCGAAATACAACTGTGATAATCAATACAAAATATGCATATGATTTGGAACTGCGATCAGAACCATCAAACCTATCTTCACTATGCCAGATTACATCATACAAATTCGCCGAGCATGGTACATACATGTTCCATGTCGTAGAGATTACCTCAGATGTAGGTGCGTGTTTCATAAAACAAATAGGAAATCCAAGTAACTATTGGACTCCTGTTATCGTTGGTGTCATATTCGTTGTCTTGTATATTGCTTTGACGCAACTCTGGCATCATAGATATCGTAGTCAATATTATAATTATTTTCTTTCGAATATTCTTCATCGGCAATCAAAGCATATCGGACAACAAACAGTCAATCAATCCGATGAAGATACTATTCGTGCTACAGCTGAATTACCGGTGACGAATTCAATACACCTACCGAATCCAAGAAAGTTGCCAAAACGTCTTCGAGCATTGGATACATTTCGAGGATTTTCACTGATGGTGATGATATTTGTCAATTATGGTGGTATGTTTTCAATACTATTCACAGAAAAAAAGAACTCAAACGTTACTTGAAAAGAAAGACTGTGATTTGACTGGAATTTTGAGCATTCTAAAAACAGTTATTCTCCTCAGATTTGCCATTGTACTTCTTTTTCGATTTTTTTTAAAGGTGGTGGTTATTCATTTTTTGATCATTTGAGTGAGTCGAAGCAGCTAAAACTACTATTTTGAGTTGAACATAGACTCAATTTTCTAGTCTGGAATGGATTAACATTGGCTGATCTCGTTTTTCCCTGGTTTGCATGGAGGATGGGTGTTTCAATTGTTATTTCCCAGCGGTCACTTCGTAAAAAAGTCGTACGAAAAAGAAGCATTTTGTTAAAAATTTGCCGACGATCAATTATTCTTTTTGTATTTGGTAAGCAATCATAATTATTTTTGATTGTAACAACACGTGATACGATACATAGGACTCAGTGGACAAGTTGACGTCACAGATTTGAAGACTCTTCGAATTCTCGGTGTACTTGCACGATTAGCATCGTGCTATTTTTTTACTGCTCTTATTGTTCTTCTCTTAGACAAGAAGGACAATGAAAGAGACGTATCCGACAGTAACACATGGATGAACTGTATCTTCTTTGATACGATGATATTGATCTTTCTCTTTGAGGCACTGATGTCAAACAAACACTACGTACTGAATTATTCAATTGTATTTTTCAATTCTGGACTCAATGGCTTTTGGTCATAATAATCACAACTGGTTGGCTTCTTATCACTTTTCTTCTTCATGTTCCTAATTGTCCAACTGGATATTTGGGTCCTGGTGGAAAACACAGTCATGGAAGATATTGGAATTGCACTGGAGGTAATACTTTGTGGAATTCAAAATCTATTCTACTTGTCTTTATCGTTTTCTTGTAGGAGCTGCTGGATATATTGATCGAGTCGTTTTAGGAAATTCTCACTTGTACAATGACCCAACCTGCAAAGAAATCTATCATACAAAAGTGCCCTATGACCCGGAAGGTAAAAAGAACGATTGATGAATGTGTCAGAAGAAATGAGAGGTTTGCTGATTCTATAACGAAAGATCGACATAGGAAAATACCATTTCTAAGAGACGAAAAAAGATGATTTGCTTGTATATTTGCATTCAGGTATATTGGGTATTTTAACTGGAACTTTACTCTGCTATCTTGGCGTACAAGCTGGTCACATATTTATTCATTGCACTCGTACGAGTCGCATTTGTGCCTATTGGATTTTGTCAGGCATCATTTGTGGTTCTCTCGGTCTGATCTTATCACATGGTGGTCATTCCAATAGTTGGATTCCGATCAATAAAAATCTCTGGTCGCTGACATTTGTATTGATTTTAGCTAGCTTAGCTTTTTTCATTGTAACTATTCTCTATCTACTGGTCGATGTTTATCGATGGTTTACTGGCGCTCCTTTTCTCTGGTTAGGAATGAATTCGATTGTTATCTACATAGCTCACGGTCGATTTGGAACCAGTTTTCCTGTACAATTCCTAGACAATAATACACACGTTGAAGAACTTGCCATGCACCTCTATGGATCATTTTTTTGGTCATTTGTTGCCGGCTTCATGTACTATAAGAAAGTTTTCATCGCCATTTAATAAAAAAATCAACTCCTTTCTTTTTGAATTATTGAGCAGTGTAGACTCTACACTGTAGAGGCTAACAAAGTTGGTCCAAATGAGATAATATCTTCAACTCTTGCAACTGTCAATAATCAATTATTCATCCACGAATAGTTGACGCTGGAGTTATTGAAGTAGACGAAACGTTGCAAGAGTTGAAAATATGGAATTTTGAACGATAACATTTGTATAGGAGTCCTTCCACAGTAATTCGATCATATATACAATAAGTGTTTAGAAACGGACTGAAAACTATCTAGTCGTGTAGAGCAGGGTCGACTTCTTTTAGCGAATTAA